CCTTGATCTTAGTGCAACCCGTTTCCTCTCCTTCATTTTCAAAAGCAACGGAAGCAGTCAGAGATGAACGGAAGCGGTCGGAGACGAAATCGGTGGTTAAAAGGGAATAGCTGAATGGGAGAAAGACCATCCGATGAAGCCATCTTCTTCTTCTTCTTCTTCTTCTTGGAAGAAATGTTTGTAATAAAGAGCCGAAGGCAGGACCCCTTACTCTCCTTCTTCTATTTATAATGTCTTCCTTTTAGACAAGTTCAGCCAAAAACTTGAATTCAAATTTGAATTCAGCCAACTTGTGTAATTAATATTGGGGCCCACTAGATTAATGGTTTGGTGATCAATTAAAAGCAAATTAGGAAGATGGGTTGGATTTTTCTCCCACTTATTTAAAGAGGCCGGGCCCATACTTGATCGGCCATGACTTCCAAACTTGGTTGATCAATCAACCCCCTTATGTGCTGATTTCCTTTTAAATGGGATTCTTTTAATTATAATTTGTATCATTTTGGAAAGTTAGTTGGTTTGAGATCTCTAATTAACAGATCTGTGATCAATCTTTGATTCCCAGTTAAATGTAATTGAATGCATAGAATGTCTCCCTACATGGCACTTGGAAAAAGGGCTGGGCCCATGCATCATTTAGGTCATTGGCCAACCACATCATTTTTCCTTTTTTTGTGTGGATCAATTAAGTCTTGAAAGCTGCTGGTTACCTTTTAAATGGGATTCACCAAACCCCAAGTCAAGATTTAGCTAATCTGTCCACCAAATTTGAATTAAGGATTTTCTCCTTTTTTTTCTTATGAGACCATTGTACCGAAAATTGAAGGTTAAGTCCAATTCTCATTGGACTCACTAGTGTCCTTTTTGGCTAATGGGCTAAATACATTGGGTCCCACCTAAAAAAATCTTTCCTCTTAGTGGGCCCAACAATCCCTTTCGATTTTATTTCATATTAGGCCCTACTGAACTTCTTGGGCCAAAAAATTATATTCCAACAATCTGAATAAAAAGAATTTTAAAACATCTAATCTAATAGTATTCCTATAAACTTTTTTAAATTGTGGATTACATAACCATTTTTCAAGTTTAGTATCTTCAACTAACAAAAATGGTTGTTCACCATGTACAATGTATTTTGCTAATTCTTGCCTCATTTTTCTTGAGAATATTTAAAAGTACCAACCCCTCTCAATTTGTGCTTGTTTTGTTTCTCTCCCTTCTTCTTCTTCTTCTTCTTCTTCTTCTTTCTCATGGATGAGCAGATGTCTACCCAAATGRCCATTACCACCCTTTGTACAATAGCTAAAGTCTTTCCTACATTTTTGGCAAATAGCTCATTTTCCCTTTCCCTAAATCTCCTTTATTTTAAATATTTTCCAAACCGGGCTAATCAACTTAGTGGCCTTCTTTTTCTTTCCCCTAATATCAATACTAGGGGTGAAAGTTCCATCAATATCAATAGCATCCATATCAATGTTAATACTACCATGCTGCGATTGAATACTGTTAACATTGAACATGTTAGGGAATCGGTTTTATGAGGAGTAAACATTTTTTTAAGTTAAAAAAAGAAACTAATTTAATTGCACATACTCGGATTGCCGATTCGGAATCCCAAATTAATTTCAATGGTTGAAACCTTTCAAGACCAAGAGTCTAAGCCTCCCAATTTGCTAACTTGAGAGTTGAGATACTTGAGTTGTTGAGCAAGCCTTCTTCTTGTTGAAGCTTCAATAAAGTTGAGAATTGGAGAATCAGAGAATGTATGAAAGATTGAGAGATTGAGACTTGAGAGAGTATGAGAACTAGAGAAGAGATTAAGAGAATTATTGAGTTGGTATGATGAGAATGGTGGAGGATAGGACTATTTATAGGAATTGAAAATAATTTAATTGCCCAAAATACCCTAAAAATTAGTTGTTGGGAGGGGTATTTTGGTCATTGTAAAGTTATTTATCACTTTACCCAAAACGCCCCCTAAACTAGTTGTTATATAACTGTTAGGGGGCATTTGTGTCACTCTTTCTCCCCCCAAAACCAAAATACATAAATACCCCCTATATAGCTGTTAGGAGGGTATTTCTGTAAAAAAAAAACCCAAAAAGCCGAAAGTAGCTGTTGGGGACCCCCCAACAACTAGTTCATTGGATGGGTCGTGCTAGCACGTGGACTTGGAACCCCAGGCCCAACACGACCCAAACCATCGTGCTGGGTGCGGTGTGCCTTGTCGGGCGGTTCGTGGGTGGCACAACCCGATATATAGCTGTTTATAGCTGTTGGGGAGTTATTTCTGTAAAAAAAAACCCCGAAAAGCTAAAACTAGCCATTAGGGACCCCCCAACAACTAGTTCATTGGATGGGTCGTGCTAGCACGTGGACTTGGAACCCCAGGCCCAACACGACCCAAACCATCGTGCTGGGTGCCGTGTGCCTTGTCGGGCCGAGAGAGAGAGAGAAGGGGGGGGAATACTAATTCAACATAATACCATAAAGATCTATTTGGCTCCCTGGAATAGATGCCTAGAATCTGAATTAGAATTGCCAACTATTTGTTTCACAAGAACAGAAGAATAAGATTCCGATTCCCATTCTTAGGGGTAGGAATGGCAATGGGGTGAGGACGGGGATCCCCATTCCTCATGATTTTTTTATAATGTTAACCATTTTGATTTTGTTTTTTATTTTATTTAAAAAAATAAAAATAAAATAATTAAAATTTACAATCCTATTAGAAACGATTCAAACATATTCAACCATATTTTTAAAAATATCAATATATAGATGTATGTGTACATATATACATATATAATGTATGCATACATACATACATACATACATACATACATACATACATACATACATACATACATACATACATATATACATATATATATATATATATTTGGGGGAATGAAATTCCCATTCCAGAGTGTGTTGTTAAGGAGTAAAGAACTCAAGACAAAAAATTCCCCAAATTCCCATTCCAGAGTGTGTTGTTAAAATAATAATAATAATAATAATTAAATACAAATAAAATAATGGAATATTAATAAAATGTAAGAAAACAAAGTAATAAATTATTAATAAAATATACAAAANTACATACATACATACATACATACATACATACATACATACATACATACATACATACATACATACATACATACATACATACATATTAGTGGGGATCTCACGGGCAGGGATCGGGTCCCCGCGGGTGGGGAATGCTCTCCCCGTCCCCGCTAACGGGAATGAAAATTTCCCCGTTCCCGTCCCCACGGGGAAAATCATCCCCATCTTTGCCCCATTTGGGCCAGATCTCCACGGAGATCGGGGAAATGGGAAAATTTTCCATCCCTACTTGGGGGAATGAAATTCCCATTCCAGAGTGTGTTGTTAAGGAGTAAAGAACTCAAGACAAAAAATTCCCCAAATCCTAATATTAATAAACTATTAACAAATATTAGTAAAATAGTAATAGAATCATAATACTATAATAAATTATTCATACAATATTAAAATAATAATAATAATAATTAAATACAAATAAAATAATGGAATATTAATAAAATGTAAGAAAACAAAGTAATAAATTATTAATAAAATATACAAAAATTGAAAAAAAAATAGTTTACTCCGATTCTAGCTCCAAATGAATCGAATAATAGTAATCAGAATCTGTTTTCAATTTTATCTAGTAACTATTAACAATTAAGAAATTAATAAAAATTAGTATTAATAGATAGCCTAACCCAATTAGACCTATAAATTTTTAGGCTTAAGCAACTATTTTCTTCTAAGCTAGGTCTAGCTTGGATTTGCACCAAGACACACATAATGTGGTCATTAGGGCTATAAGTGAATTGGATTTAGATCATATCCAACTACATCTACATCAACATCAACATTCGATTATGAAATCTCTAGATCTGCATCCATACATGATTATTATTATGTTGGATTTTGAATTTTAAAGTATAAATGCATATATGTATAATTACATATAATATCTATGTGTATACAATAATTATACTATATATACAAAATAATATTTTTTTATTAGACGTGGATTTTAACCAATTTGGGTAGGGTTAAATTTACATCCAATCGAATGATTAACCAGATGCAAATTCTAACATCCAAATATGGGATAATCAGATTTGAAGTCTAATTGTGTGTCAAACTTTCGAAATCCAATGATGGCCCTAGCGGATAGGGTCCAAGGTAAGCAACCCCTAATAAGCTCAACTTGCAAATTATATGCATATATGGTATATAATATTTAGATAACAAATTTTATACTAATATATATATATATATATATATATATTATATTAGACCGTAATTAAATAAAAAATTTAATTTGTAAAAAAGTCATAGTTCTATAAATAACACGGGCAACCCTTTAGGCCCAGACAAATATTATTACACTGTGTGGGTTGGGCTAGGTGAGGCAATTCATAGCTCATTTGGCTTCAATATTATCTAAAAATAGTTAAAAAACCCATAAATTATGTATTCATGGGTTGCACTTAATTTGGTTCAGTCCAATTATATGAATGTTACAATGCATGCAACTTGGATGGATTGGGTCAAGATGAGAATCAATCCAAGTCTAATCCAAAGTCTTAAAACTTTAAGTTTGGACTTAGATTAATTTAATTATTGACTACAAAAATTAACTATAGATTAATTTAATTATGACTATAGCCTAATTTTATATATTTATTGATCTTTAAGTATTTTAAACATTTAAGTGATATTTGCAAAAAATTGAAACGTTTAATCATTAATATAGTAAAATAAATAAAATAGAACACTTACAAATAATAAGGAAAAAATAATTAACAATAATTTATTAATTTATTAAAATATTAATATAATTAATTAAATTATTTTAAACAACATCGATTCTTTCTTTAATTATAAGTTTTGGATTATTTCACTTTTCTTAAAAAACCCGTGCACCGCACGGGTCCCCGCTGGTTCTGCATAAAAACCCCGGTGAGGCGGTGACAACGGGATTTTCAATCAGCCGAATCCAGAGAGCGTGCCCACACTTCACAACAAATACCCAGAAGGGAAAAACGAATAACAGCAATCAAAGCAGGAAGGGAGAAGAAATGGCAGGGGAAGATAACGCAGAGTTCTATCTTCGATACTACGTAGGTCACAAAGGAAAGTTCGGCCACGAGTTCTTAGAGTTCGAATTTCGTCCCGATGGAAAGCTTCGCTACGCCAACAACTCCAACTATAAGAACGACACCATGATCCGCAAAGAAGTCTTCCTCACCCCCGCTGTACTCAAAGAATGCCGTAGAATCATTGCCGAGAGCGAGGTTTTGTTTTCTCCTTATCTTCTCCTTTGTTTTAGACTTTTTTTTTTTAACTCTGGAATTTGGTAGGGGGTTAGTGTTTCTTCTCTTTTCCTTCTCTGTTGGTTGTTCCTCTTTGTGAATCTTGGTTGAATTTGTGGAGATTTTCAGATAATGAAGGAAGATGATAACAACTGGCCGGAACCCGACCGTGTTGGGCGTCAGGAGCTTGAGATTGTGATGGGGAATGAACATATTTCATTTACCACTTCGAAGATTGGGTCGCTTGTTGATGTCCAAAGCAGCAAAGATCCCGAAGGGCTTCGCATTTTTTATTATCTTGTTCAGGTATGTTGAATGGATCCTAACAAGACAGAGCAAACTAGAGACTGTTTTTGCACTAGTTTGTTTGCTTAAATGTTTAGGTTTGTTTCTGCATTGATCATTACTCTTCTGTATCGTTAACTGCATTAATTAAATGTTAGAGAGAAAAAGTGTGGCGCAAATGCTGAAATCATGATTAACCATTACGGCTGACGTTGGAACAGTAAGCAGCGTGGGAACACTTTGGTGGGGAGGCGAGTGGTTTGTAGTTACAAATTTACAATAGATTGAATTGAAGATATGGACAGGTGTTGAGCTTGTCTCATGATTATGAATGAATTTGGTAGGGATTATAGATGGAGGGTGTCTTGTTCGCTAACGTAGTTTGGATGATTGGTTTAGAATCAAAAGGTTCCATGAGTTTTTTGCCCTATGGAATGAAGAGTCTCGCAACCACTTACTGATTCCTCTGGTTTGACGAGGAAGGGTGATTGGATTTCTTGTATTTATTTGGGTTACTTTTTTATTTATTTTGCATAGAAGTTGATAGACATCATCACATGGGTTTCTTTTGATGCTTCTGAGGCCTATGAAAGGAGTTCTACGAGAATGCTTTTGTGATTATAATTAGTTATAAAAAATGCTTTTGTGATTCCTTGGAAGTCTTGGAAAGATAAGAATAGAAATTTTTTATGATGACACATATCTTGACACAGGTTTGATATAGGATGAATCCAAATAAGTCACTGAAGTATGCTTTACTGCATCTTATCTGGATGTAGAATTGTAGATTCATGTGTTGCACTTGGGATATTTTTGGTTATTTCAAAATGGAAAGTGATGGGGGGTGATTTGACCCGACCTCCTGAGAAGGTGACACGTGGACAAGTTTATCCCAGCTCGCGAGCTAGGATAACTAGCTCGCTCCAATACTTTGGTAGAAGAACTGCCCCAAAGGCAACCTCAGGTGGAATCACCTCGAAGTACCACTAGGAGCTCGCTACAAGGCAGCTCGTAACAGGATAGCTCGCTACAAGGCAGCTCACTACTAAGCGACGCGACGTTTTCAGGAAGCTCCTATCTGACAAGACCGTACCCGTCAGACTACATCACGTCTCCTAACTGACGGCGTAGTCCTTGCCAGCCCGACAGACTGCACCCACGTCTCTCGACAGGTGGTGGCGTGTCTGTCTTTTCCGGGACGTGTCATTCATCCGATTGGGTAATACTCTGCAACGGTTACCTGTGCAGCTCTGACAAATAACAGCTGCGATAGAGGTCCAGTGGCGATTACGCCTGATTTGGCAAGAACACCCATATTTAAGAGCCCCATGGTCGAAGGGGAAAAGGGATCTTGAGTTAATCTCGAACTTTCATTGATCTAGCGCTATCTGCACTCTTAACTCTCTTTGCATTCCTTACTGCTCTCCCAAGTGTTCTAACTTAAGTATCGGATTATTCCCACCGGGCAAGTCCCCCGGGAATCCTTCACCGTCTTCTTCTCAGGTATTGTCCGTCACCAGCTAGGAGCCAGTCGACTGCCAGATAGGAGTGCCCGGATTGCGTTGCATCATTTGGCGCCGTCTGTGGGAAAGCTTCAAAAAGGCTTCCTCTAATCTCTGCAACTCTCTCTAAGAACTCAACATTCATGGCTTCCTCTAGTAATGCCAAACGTGGTGCCGACCAGAACACTTCTGGGGAGCAACCCCAGCTCCCCACTGTCTGTATTGGACAGTTCACCATCCCCCTCTCTATGGATAGAGTTCCCAGCTTGAACGTGTCTCTCACAGTGGCACCTGTGAACGCTTCACTCCCTTCCGCAGTTGGAGCAACCTTCATTGAACCTTTCGTCGTTCCCCCAGTGAGCAACCAAAACCAGCTCGAAGACCTGGTGCAGTGCATGTGAGCCATGCAAGATCAAATGCAATAGTTCCAGCAATTTCAACTCTACCAGCAGCAAGTGCTGCATCAAGTTTCTCAGTACTAGTATCAACAGCAGTTCCCTTCATTGCCTCAAGCCCAACAACCGCTTCCCCCTCGGCATCCGGCCTCGAAGCAAGCCAAGCCCTCCCGTCGGAGCGAACGTCCTCGTTGGGGAAAGGCCTCTCAAACCCAGAATCCTTCCAAAAGCCAAGCCTCATCCCACGGCAAGAAGGAGAGACTAATCACCCCCGCCTCAGCCTACAGGCAGGTCGGGGGCCTCCCAGCCGGTCAGGCCCACATCACCTCAGCACTCTCAGTTTGAGCTCCCGCTCGCAAAAAACCAATTCGAGGTCCTAGCCGTAGATTACAGGCATGGCCCTTCGGTTCACAGCTATCATCAGTAGTCCGAGCCCATCGAGCTTGGTAATACTAAAGCCAGCAGCACCAATGTCGAGCCGACGAAGCAACAGCGGAGGCATTGACAAGCTTGCCGAACTTCTACCCGCGTCTTGCCCGAGCTCAAGGGTAAGGAGGAGGTAAGCTCAGATGAAGTCAAAGCCACTCCTCTCCTTTCAGTTCCTTCCCCTCTGTCATCAGAACTTCTTGCGGTCCCTATGCCAAAGGACTTCAAGCTCCCTCCCCTGGATAAGTATGACGGGTCCTTCGATCCGAACGACCATGTGGATGCTTTCTAGTCCCAGATGCACTTGGCAAGGGCCAGTGAATCTTGTATGTGCGTGGCTTTTTCTACTATCTTCAAAGGAGTGGCCCGCACATGGTACCGAAACCTTGCGCCCAGATCGATAAGAAGCTGGGCGCAATTCGTGCAAGTCTTCACCTCCCACTTTGTCACCAGCAAGAGGTGCCCAAGAACTCAAGAAAGCCTCATTGGCATAGTCCAAAAGGAAGGGGAGTAAATTTGGAGTTATATCAAGCGGTTCAATGACGCTTGTTTGCAAATACCCGATCTGGACCCCGCAATTCGTCTCACTGTGGCCAAGCGAGGCATTACTCATAAAGAATTCAAGTGGCATGTGGTAGTTAACCAACCCAAGACTGTGACCGAGTTCCTCAAGCTCGCTGATCAGTTTATAGGGACAGAGGAGGAAATCAACCAGAAGAACGCAAGTGCGCCCGAAAAGAGGAAAAGGGAAGACGAGTCCTCGATTCAAGGGGACGGTAAGAAGAAAAAAGACCCAGCTCGGGGGACAAGGCCGAGTTAGCCTTTCTGAGCTCCAACAGCCAAAAGAACGGACTACACGCCCCTGAACGCGAAGCGGGCCGAAATCCTTATGGCAATCAAGGACGCCCCGTATGTGAAGTGGCCACCTCGGCTGAAGGCCGATCCGTGTAAGGAATAAAAATTTATATTGTATTTTCCACAAAGACCACAGTCATAGCACGAAAATTGTAAAAACCTCCACGACGAGATAGAGGAGCTCATCCATCGCGGATACTTGAAAAATTTTGTACAAAATAATAATAATGATAAAGCAGGTCGGCAGGGGGAGCAGAATAGAGATGCTCCCGAATCCAGCAGGCAGGCAGAGCAACCGCAGAGGCAGCCCCCGGAAGAGAGACCAGTTCGGGGAACCATCCACGTGATCGTCGGAGGATCGATTGTCGCGGGCTGTACCACAGCTGCAGCTTGGACATCAGCTCGTGAGGCCGCCAGGGAAGAACAGAACCCCCCGAAGCGGCCAAGGGTGGAAGATTTGATCTTCACAGAGGACGACGCGCACGGGGTCCACTACCCCCATGATGACACGCTCGTCATAAAGATAAAGATTAATGACTTTGAAGTCAGGCGTGTCCTCGTCGACTCCGGCAGTTTGGCAAACATCCTCTTCAAAGCAGCATTTGACCAACTTCAACTCCAAGAAAGCGACCTGAAGCTCGCAAATACTCCCTTGGTAGGCTTCAGCAGAGAGAACCCAACCTAGACACTTCAGATCGGCGCTTCCATTGAGGAGCCTCTGCGATCTAAATTGGTACGCTTCTTACTTGAAAATTTAGATGTTTTTGCATGGTCCATGGCAGAAATGCCCGGTATAGACCCTAGCATCATAACTCATAAGCTTAATACTGATCCCGTAGTTAGGTCCGTTAGACAGAAGAAACGCAACCTAGCCCCAGAGCGATGGAGGGCAGTCGTCGAGGAGGTCGGGAAGCTCCTCGCAGCCGATTTTATCAGGGAAGTCCATTACCCGAGCTGGGTGGCCAATCCCGTTCTGGTAAAAAAGGCTAACGGTAAATGGCGCATGTGCGTTGACTACACCGACCTGAATCGAGCCTGCCCAAAGGACTGCTTCCCACTCCCTAGGATCGATCGTCTGGTGGACGTGACCTCAGGGCATGAGTTGCTGAGTTTTCTAGACGCCTATTCGGGCTACAACCAGATCAAGATGGACCCAGCCGATGAAGAAAAGACTTGCCTTCATAACCAAACTTGGCCTATACTGCTACAAGGTCATGCCCTTTGGGCTAAAAAATGCCGGGGCAACCTTTCAGAGACTTGTAAATAAATTGTTTGAGCCATTGATTGGCCGAAAAATAGAATGTTATGTAGACGACATGGTCATCAAAACCCAGTTTTCACATGATTTAATACAAGACTTGCATTCAGTTTTTGAAATTCTGCGTAGATTTAACATGAAGTTGAACCCGAATAAGTGTGTCTTTGGTGTCACCTTGGGTAAATTCCTGGGGTACATCGTTAACCGGCACGGCATTGAGGCTAACCCGGATAAAATAAAGGCCATCCTAGACATGAGACCACCTTGGAAACTGAAGGAGGTTTAGAGGCTGAATGGCCGAATAGCTGCTCTGAGCCGCTTCATGTCCAAGTCGGCAGACCGCTGCCTGCCTTTCTTTAAGGCAATTAAAAGCAAAGGTTTTGAATGGATTGAAGAGTGCCAACTCGCGTTTGACGAGCTCAAAAAGTACCTCGCTAGTATACCGGTCTTAACCCAGCCCGAGGAGGGCGATGTTTTAGAGTTGTACCTCTCGGAAAGTGACGAGGTGGTCAGCTCGGTACTGATAAAAGAGGTAGATCGGGTCCAACGACCTATCTACTATGTTAGTAAAGTATTAAAGGGAGC